AAACCCCCCCCCCCCCCTTTGAGAATGGCCTAAAGACGCACCAGTTAGTAGCACTGCCCTGGGGCGGGAGGGGGGTGGGGGAATTGTCTAACTTGTGAGATTATGAGAGGCAAACGTAATCACGGACCCTCCTCCCTCTTCCCCTCACCTCATTTTTCAGGTTAGTTAGACTTTTATGGCATTTGCAACACAAATAGGCTATTACTATAAGTGCAGAAGGTCAGGCGTATTACAGGAGAGTACCGTACCTAGAAGGTCAGGCGTGTTACAGGAGAGTACCGTACAAAGAAAAGAAGGAGGAAAGGAGGGGGGAGAAAGTGGATTCGTGTTACAAGAGAGTACCATGCAAATAAAAGAAGAAGGAGGGAAGATCAGAACAATAGAAGAGGCAAGGACGATAGATGTTGGAGGGGAAAGAACGGGAAAACTGTACTAGAATACTCGTTAACCACACAGAGACAGTCAGTTTTAACAAAATAATTTTTAAAATAATAATAAAGATTTTTTTAGTAAGTGTTTTACGGCACTTGCAACACAATAAGGTCATATAAGTGTCGAAGATTAGAGGTGTTACAAGAGAGTAACGAACATAAAAAAGAAGTAGAGGAAAAATGACGATAGTGTGGAAAACTGTACTAGAACACTCGTTAACCACACACAGACAGTCAGTTAAAAAAAAAAAAATAATAAAAAAGATTTTTTTAGAACGTGTTTTACAGCACTTGCAACACAATAAGGTCATATAAGTCCCGAAGATTAGAGGTGTTACAAGAGAGTAACAAACATAAAAAGAAGGAGTGGAAATAAAGACGAATAGCACGTAGGCGTTTGAAAGGAAAGAAGAAGCAGACCACACCAGAGCACCCGCCATCCACCCTCAAATTAAAAAAAAAATGCACATGCGAGTTTATAGCAAAGAAGGAATTTATTTCCATGACATAGACACAATGATGGGTCCCCCGTGACTCGAGTGTAGGGGAAGAAAGACACAGATAGTAGACAGCATACAAGGATACAGCACGACTGCGGAAGCTATGCGCAAAAACCGACTTTTTAAAAGAAGACATCATTCGTTGAGGTCCATTTACAAAAGGTGACAACAGTATAAAAATGTACAAACAGGATTGTAAATAATCAGTTCAACAATTATTTCATACTGTCTGTGGTAAGTTCTTAATTAATCCAAATTACGATTACAAAAACATTATTTTTCTTAATGATGTGAAAAAGACGACCAAGCGTCGAAAACACATTTAAGGGAAATAAATCCAATAAAACAATAAATGTATAGCAATGATAACAGTTGCTTCCCCTGGTAATTTACACGTTTCCGACTTGCCCTTTGCATTTATGGTCAGCGCAAATCAACTCCGGAAGATTACATTATGGTTGGCTCAAAACTGTGATACATAAGTGCTCTGATAAACGCACAAATATATATTTTATTACTATTTTGAGGACGAATGTCCATTCCTTTATAGACATAATAATAATTACTAATAATAATATGTTGTCGATCTCTGATTTTTAAAAAATCTCCAAACAGTAACACAAAGCTCAAATCTGCTCTGGTGAGGGCAGAAGTAAATTTTCAATTTGAAGGCGATATCTGAACTCGCATTCCCCACCTCCCCTCCTCCCTTTTTTTTTCCTTTTCCCTCACTCCCCTCGCAAAAAAGCAATTTTAAATCTCGATAACAAACACTTACCCATTTCCTTTTAGACATAATGATATGATCATTCTGTAGCATGTTAATAATATCGAGCATTTATATTGGTGTCACGATGTGGCGGAATCAGGCGCTCGTCATGTTTTGGACATAATATGGGGTTATTGATATCATCTTAAAGTCTGTTCATTTGTCTTCCTTTCGGTGAAAAAAATATCCACCTATGTTGAATAAAAGTCGGAGAATTTGCTATTGAAGGAGGTCAGGACCCCTGGTTTTAGAGGTAAAATTAGTGAGAAAATGGCCGCCAAAGTTTGGTAACTTCCAAAGACTGGGAGTCCTTAGAAACTGAAAATTTACATTTTTTGTGCCTTTAATCAATGTTTTTCAATAAAATCCACATCAAACTTGTTTGATAATGGACATAAAAAGTGTTGTCAACACCCCCACCCCTCAGAAAATTAGAAAAAAAGGTTGCCAATCAGCCAAAAATTTGCTGAATTTTTTCCATTATTTTGACGAGCGCCTGATTTCACTACGATGCCTCACATTTTAATTATAGAGTGACCCTTGACCTTGCTCAAGGCCAGTAGTCATCGCGCCTGGCGAAGGGGTTGAACCGCCAGTTCCTGGGTGTGGGTCTCAACAGTACGGAGTCGATCTCCAGTACGTTCCCATTGGTCGCCGTCTTGTCACACGTGACCACGTGGGCGTGGCCTATCTTGGGCCGGCCGCTCCGGTCACGTGACAGTTTGAGTTTGTCTCCGCTCAGCACGCGCACCTGGGGCCGCGCGAACCACGAGCCGCGGAAGATGCCGGCGCAGCAGAGCGTGTCTGTGGAAAATGTTGTATGTGAGAGTGTATTGCATGCGAGAGTGTGTCAGGTGAGAGTGTGTTAGTTTGTTGTATGTGAGAGTGTATCAGCACAACGTGTTGTGTGTGAAAGTATGTTAGAAAAGTTTGATGTTTTCTTTGTTTTAGTAAGGTTTTACGGCGCTCGCAACTGCATAAGGTCATATGAACACCAAGGAGTGGATGTCAACAGAGAAGTCCAAACGAGGAATCAGGTTTATTCTGCTCACCTCTCAAGCCTCAACAGCACAAAGTCTACTTGGACTATCAAGGCACCCGGAAATAGCTGTTCCCAAGAGAGTGACAAACATACAAAAGAAGTAGAGGAAAAGTGGCGATAGTAAGGATGAGGAAAGAAAAACCAACAGTTCCCCTTATGTTGTTCCGGCACGGTATGACCATTTACAATTCTACAGTGAATAAGAACATGTTAATATCCCCTCTTTGGGAATGGTCTAAAGACACCTTCAGTCAGTAGCACTGCCTTGGAGGGGGGGGGTTGGTGTCTGAGGATGTTATGTGGTGGTGGGTAT